AGATGTTGCTTGAACGGTTTAATCATCATTTTCATTAGGATTACATAATCATGCAATATCATCGTTATCAATCATCAACTCAAAAGCAGGATCATCTATTGACACTAGTGCAGTTACGTTCTCGGGAGGAATAGCTTGCTATTTGAGGTTGCCCAAATTGCGAAAACAAGACAAACAGGTGATGCGAAAACAAGATGGAGCCCAAGAAGAAGATTAACTGTTGAAATTTAAGACATTCTACATCGAAACAGGATGACAATAGTGAACCCATGGAGCATTGAATAGCATACAGTTCGTGTCCACCAGGTTTAACAGGAAAAACTTAGGAAAATATGATGATGATTATGATGGCATAATCTCTGCGGCGGAATACTTACTGCAAAAGATAGTGAGATTCCAGGTCCGATCAACCATTAAACTTTGACGTACATTTGAACATGTTGAAGAAATATGGAATTTGTTTTTTTTAAATTGTTCAGCACATCATTCATTGCTAAAATAAAGCGAGTGTAGTTCTTTAATTTGGGTTTGGTGATTATTCCTTTTAACCATCATTTTTGGGATATCGGCTGGGCTAAATGATATAGGGAAGTAAAGGGAGGTGAACAGGGGAAACATTGATGTGGGGGAGGAGGCGTGGTTTTCTTCCGAAATCTCTATGCTGTTTGCATTGATGTGTTATTGTGTTATATTTTCAGGTGGCAAGAATATTCACACCCAGAAGAGTATCGATTATCGTTGGGGCATTCTTCATTACATTAAGTGCAAGCGTTTCTCCTATATATTACGTAGACCGGTTTACAATGATCTGTGTGGCATCCAATAACTGGACAATTCAGAGTGTCGAACATACAGAAAATCAACTGGATGTCATTACAGTCTCTTTAGTTATTAACAACATCATTATCCCATTTGGAGCTTTTGCGGTTATCATTATTTGCACAGTAATTCTGCTAGTTAGTTTACACAGAAAAACAAAATGGCGCCAGTCAGCAGCTGCTGGGAATGCTCATAACTTGCTCAGCCGTGACCAAAAAGTTTTGAAAATGATTTTAGTCATTTCGGTAATGTTTATCATCTGCTTTGTTCCTTGCGTTGTGACTTGTCTGGCCATGACAATAGAGCCCAGAATTGAAATGTATGGACAGTATACCAATACGTTCCAGGTTCTGTTTGAGGTTAGTTTTCTCTTAGAGACAGCAAACTCGTCTGCGAATATCTTTATCTACTATAGCATAAGCAGCAAGTTCAGGTTCACCTTTCGACAAGTCTTTGGTATTCAGAGCGATGATGTAAGTATTATGTAGTTTGATGTTATTCTGGCAAATAGTATATATTCATATCAACATCATCATCGTCGTGTGGCCTACCGACTGGCGTAGGTTCACATATCTCACAGATCTCGGCAGCTTGTCCTCTTTGTCTGTTCTACCGTTGATATCCCTTTGTGCCATCGTCGCAGTCCATCTGTCATCATCTCTCGATCTGCCTCTTCCTCTCTCTTTTACTTATGATCCTCCCAGTCCTTGCAACAGTCTTCAAAACTTTCCAGCCCCACTCCCCTTTCCATTCCAGCCCATCACATGACCCAAGAACAGTGATTGTCTTTTCCTTATACCTGTATGCATTGACCTGCTTCATATGTATATAAAAGACCCATTTTCCACTCATTTCATACATATTGGGTACACAGGGCTATACCTATATTTTGTAGACCAAAAAGTACTTAGTGGTTGATGTAGTCATCATCACACCGACTGCCTTTACTTCCCAGGACTGTCCCTGGTACCCACTCAAAGCTGTGTCGACCTGGGTTCCAAAGTCTTTTCTCATAAGTCTGTCCCCTGTCAGGAACAGAACCCACGACCTTTCGTTCCGCAGGCGAGCAACTAGCTGCTAGACCATGGTGACATTCAGCTACATACATATATTTCTCTTCCTCTTGGTACCTCATCGATGTGGTTGGTGCACAGGGAGTGGGGAAGGGTAAAAAGAGGATGTAATTATCTTCTGTGTGCCCATTCTATTGCATCGCTACATCAGTGATGTTCTTGATGCCATTGTTCCATGTTTCCTTCTTTGTGCTTATTAAAAATTGTTTTCGCTTATTGTCAGTTTTGGCCTTTCCTTTTGGGAAATTGTATATGTATTAGAGAGCGGAAGTAGAACAATAGTTCGTCATCACATAAGACAATATATGTATATGAGACAGGATGTTGAACAAAATGTCGTGATGACATGGGGCAATATATGTATATGAAACAGGATGTTGAACAAAATGTCGTGATGACATGGGGCAATATATGTATATGAGACAGGATGTTGAACAAAATGTCGTGATGACAATATATGTATCTGAGACATGGTGTTGAACAAAATGTCATCATACATAGGACAACATATGTATATGAGACAGGATGTTGAACAAAATGTCATCATGACATGGAAAAGCAAATGTATTAGATAGAGAATGTTGGTCAGTCTCATCATGGAATGGAAGACCATCTGTCCAAACGTGAAGATGTTGAACATGGTGTCATCATGGAATTGTAGAAGACCTGTTGTAGAGAGAGAGAGAGAGAGAGAGAGAGAGAGAGAGAGAGAGAGAGAGAGAGAAAGAGAGAGAGAGAGAGAGAGAGCGACAGGACGTTGAATATTGTCTTTATTTTACGGAGGAACAGCTTCCAAAGAAAGAGAGAAGATGTTATACAGCGGGCAATCTAGAGATAGAGGAAAAATATTTCCCATGATTTGAAAAAAAAAGTCTTGATAATGCATTTCAATTATACATATTATTCAAGTAAAGCTAGACGCGTATCGATTACAAGACTTTGCAGCACCAACCCGTGTATTTTTTGATTACTTTTTGTTTTTGTTGTTGTTGCAACTTTACGTTCAGTTGTTTGTTCAGTGAAAGGGCATTTGTTTATTTCGCTGTGGAAACCAGTGCAAGACGAATTGCTACCAAATCGGCCGCAGGTTGGATCACACCTAGTGCCAAGGGATAATAAAGCGCATTGAAAGCGCTAAATCACAGACACCGATATGTATGAAACGTAACAGACCAACATAAGACGCTGTCACAAACAAACCGTGGGTGACCTGGGTGCTCAAACACTTTGAACGTCCCCTGCCCACCCCCCCCCCCCCCCCCCCCCCCCCCCCCCCCACCAACACCCCCACCCCCCCCCCCTTTCCTCAGCCCCCAGTCCTCAAATGTTTACAAACGCTTCCAACCCCATCCCTGCCAATAATTCGTTAATACTCAACTGCCACTTTGAGAAATTTCGCCTCGAGATTGTGCTAAGTGCTTGCCAAAAAGATGTTTAGAAGGTCCTAATTTTTTTGTATGTTTACACATTACTTGTTTGTAATTTATTACTAATTTTTCATTCCGCAAACAATACCCATAATGTTATTAATAATACTAATAATTATTATTAAACACGTGAATAAGGTTTCTAATTGTAGATATGGTGCTCTTTTTCTAATTCGGCATATTCCTTTCATGTTCATTTGACTAATAAAATGGGTACCTTTTCAAAAAAAGAATATACCTAATTGGCACTTTTCAGTTACATATTCAAGTCCTATTCCTTGTTTGAAAGTGACGGGGTTTAGTGCAAGCTACATACGATTTTAGGAATTTTGATTTGAATTACTTCATAATGTTTGTGCTATGCTTTTTTTCAACCAATATGTGAAGCAAACACTATATTAAAACTAGGTCTTATTCTTTATTTAAAAGTAAATTGATTTCAGCAAACTAATGCTTTGTTTCCACACATAACATATTTAAAAAAAAATAATAGACACACATTGAAACAAGCAACATTCAAATATGCCCATTATTTGGAGTGTTTTATTTGTAATACATACATAACAACAAGCCGTTATTATGATAATACATGTAGAATAATAAATATTGTTTAAAACCGGGATTCAGGGTACTGATTTACCTTTGTGGGTTCAGGGGTCGATTGTAGGAGGAAAGACAATAGACCCACTGTCCCCTATAGTACGAGATGACTAATTATGTATGTTTCTCTCAAAGTCGGATTGTATCAACCTGAAAGACCGACTGACTGACTGACCTTCTACCCCACTAGGACATCACACAAGCGATAAACACCCGAGGACACAAAGTGTCACCATGTGGATGAGGATCGCCGTGGAGAGGTCCCAAAAACCGCGTTCAGACAATTGGTCATTTTATGGCCTGCCTATATTGCGGCCCCTGGCAAATGCCAGGGTGGGGCTTCAAATAACAACAAATGTCATCCTAAAAAGGACGAAACTGGAGAGACCAGGAAACAAAAGTATTTATGCAGATAAGACGAAAATGGACTAACCATCAGCACTTTTGGCTGGAGTTTACACCCAATGAAAACGAAGAAGTGTACTGTTTTCCAGAAAGGGAGAACAGAATGGATGACATGTTGAAGGATGGTCATTTGAGAAGAAGCACGCTAGATGTAACCGATGTTAAACAATGATCATGTAATCTCCTCCTCTAAGTGCAGAAGGCATTTCTTGACAAGGGCGGAAAGGTGCCAAAAGTGTGTCTCGCGTACCATCAGCTAATTCTGACATCAATATCTTGAATATCACAATATAAGACTGTCCAGTCTCGTCTCTTTCCTACCCCCCCCCCCCCCGCCCCCACGAAAGCCTCTTTTCCCTGCAACTTTCCAACCGCCACGATGTATTCAAGCTTTCTTCTTCATATGACATGATTAACGAAGGTATAGTATCCCCGACATTAACACCTGCATCAAGACGTCACTGTCTACCTTTCTTGTATCTGCAGTAGGTCATCACAATGGAACATTTGGAGAGGAAGAGAGTCTAAGAGACTTTGGCATCATGACCAAAAAAAAAACATACAATTCATAAATGATTGACAGACACTAAACGAGACAGAAGGCAGTGCATTGCTTGATTACCACAGCCAACTAGGCGTGAACTTGAAAAAGAAGTGTATTTTCTATGAACAGATATCACTTACAGACAAAAAGTGCCATAGGGTAGTCAAAACGAACAACTTCCACACTGAATCCAGCGGCCGTTAGAAAATCGACGGCTCGTTTTTCTCCATAGCACATACCCATGGCATGGCTGTGTTCGTTGATGTAGCTCTCAGCGACACAGAAGAAAGAACTAATTGCATACAGAGAAGCAACAAGTAAGTTTCCCTTGTCACTAATAGGACTACCTGATGAGGCCGGATCGACCATTGTAAAGGTACCTCCCTGATCTTTCATGAATTTCTTGATATTCCTATAAGCATTTGGTGGACTTGGTACATCGTGGATGACATTGATGCAAAATACCCAGTCATACTGCTGACCTTGAAGTGTACTGGGACAGCACACATCCAGTGCAGCGTATTTAATATTAGGAATGTGGCCAAGATTAGCTTTCAATTGATCTAACAGAAATTCAGCATTTTCCGTTGCAGTGAACGTACTCTTTGGAAACATTAGAGCCAGCTTCTCCAGAAGACGACCTCTTCCACATCCGATTTCCAGGACTTGAATACCATTCTCTGTAAAATATTTTAATAAGTGAAAACAATAATAATATTGAAGAGATCCAAATGAATTTCTCTAAAAGTTTACAATGAAATTGTATGGCATATTTTAATGTGTGTGTGTGGGTGGGAGGGTTGGGAGGGCGAGTGTGTTTCCACACACACACACACACACACACACACACACACACACACACACACAAACACATACGTTACTTGGTAATTTTTGTTCTGTCCGTTTGCACAGAAGCATCCATCTTTCAGCCGTTGATGCATTGCGGACAGGGCTGATCAAATAGACGAACTTATGATTAATACGCGAATGTATTAATGAGAAGCCAACAATGAATGAAACAACAAATACAGTCTGGCAGTAAAACAACACACCTTATCTTTCGAAAATGCATAGGCAATTTGACCCACATTTTAGTGCTTCAGAGAGAGACAAAACATAGTGTTGTTCAGTGGGACTCTCACTCAGTATTTGAAGAAGAAAATCGGGGCTTTTGACATAAAATGCTACAAAAAGTTCCTAGAAAGACGTGGACCAAGAAGAATTTGGTTGTTTGTTTGTTTGTTTGTTTTAGGATCCTGAAGCCAGGAGTTGTTAAACCTTAGGCTCGGTATTATGGATATCACAACTCTGTCGGCCTTGATTCCATTGTAAATACCGTAAATCTGGGATAAATGTGGCTTTTCTGCCTACCCCCGGGAGTGAACCCGGACCACAAGGAGTTCGTCACCCGCTCACCGCGCAATCCGGTTTAGCCAACTACACTAGAGAGCCGGGCGACCAAGAAGAATAGCAACATCTACATCCTGCATGACCTAAACGTCAAGGAGAACTTGCTCGTCGTAAACAGCACCCTCTTCCAAAATCGGAGATATGTTTGCCATTTCAAGCGCTATGTTGGTCTGGAAAGAACAATGATGGAAGGCACAGATTCCGGAAAACGAGGCGGAGGCCAGCTTCCAGATACAGGACATTGAAGATGTACTGGCTATAAAAGCACACAGGGCAGGATAATTTGTCTGAGATGCTCTCAGACGCGCCGTGAAGAAATGACGTCATGGAAAGGACACTATGCTAATGATTGACTGAGAGAATAAGAAAGGAATCAAATCATCCGCCAGTTTAATGCCCCTACAAGAATGTCAACGGTTGCGCGGACAATTGTTGTTACCAGATTTCCAGTCTATCGCTTGCAACACCGTTTCCGGGTCAGTAGTGTCAACGGTGACCTCTCAAGACCAGGATGCAAAAAAGTTTGAGGGGCCTAAAGGCAGGACCAATTTCTTGTCTAAGTTCATCAACTGAACTGTTTTTAGTCTGCTCAAATGAGAAAGGAAGGAAGCAAACATAAGGATAAACCAGTATAACCGACCCTATCGACTTTAGCCAAGTCACATAACAAATGTGACTCTAGCGAGACACAAACTACGCCAATTATTGGGGCAAAATGAAGTGTCAAAGTTGTTCGCAAGAGGTCACCCAATCACACACACACATACACACACACCACATATATATATATATATATATATATATATATATATATATATATATATATATATATATATATACATGTATACACACACACATACACATAAGCACAACTCGGCGAAGGAGACGTTGGAAGCCCACACAACATCTTGTAATGATCGCCACACTGATTGCCACTTATAAATTAATATGGAGAAATGTGTCCTTACCCAGCTTTTTCTTTAAACCATCCACATGCTTGAGAATGTTCTCCACATACTCGTCCAGGTGATAACTGGTGTAGCCCTCTAGGAAATCGTGAGTTGCACTCGACAGCCTGTTCCCTGTTGTCAAAAGGAGAGAAGGTTAAAATAACTGTTTCAATAGAATGGATAAAATGAGATCAATGTTGGCGGAGAGACATTATTACAAGCCACGGTGTATAACCTCCTATGCAGTGTATTCACAGAGGATGGAGGATCAAATACAAAAGCTGATAAATGAGCTATTCTTAACAACGTTGGACTAATAATGTCAGACCAGACATGGAGAGTACAAGGATAACCTAAACGAAAAATTACATGTGAAATTAGCTGTATGGGAAATGCAGCGGAAACAAAATAAGAGACACTCACAAATGAGTTGAGTTGAGTTGAGTCAAGAATTGACATCACAGCACTCGAGGCATTCCCATGCGTGCTCCGTCCTCATCTTCAGCAGCCAGCGCAGAGTTCCAATAGAGTCAGAGATGAAAAACAAAGAACGATAATAACACACTACCGGTAAGATATTGAATCAGACATCTAAGAATCAAATGGTTTGGTCATCTGGTTGTAAATTAAACACACATCGGCGACGGAGACGCACGTTGGCTGGCCACTATATTGGCCTTGTCTACAGTCGGGACATCATTTCTGTCTGTTGCTTGTGATTGCATCAACATTGCAATAGCCCTTATCAGGGGCACCAGTTGGCGAGCAATGTTAAGCCATTCCAAATGGCGCAAAAAACCTAGTCACACGTATAACCAAAAGCTCCCTATTTGGGAATGCTGGCTGAAGATGACGATTTTTATTTGTTCCTGAAAAAATCGGATCGGATCAGTGAAAACAAATAGACGGTCACTAATGAGAGCACTAAGGACAACAGTAGCACACCACCGAAGAACATCAAAGAATCAAATGGTTAGAATGGAACTAAATCAGCCAGCAAATGGGCTAACTACACGAGAACAGCCGGCTACAGAAACAGGGCCGAACAAAAACAACTATGGGCAGAAGGAGTAAAAGAGAAATCAGAAAATAGGAAATACATTTCACACAAGCTACACAACTAGCAGAAGACAGTGACATTATATATAACTTCACTCTGCCACGAGGATTGAGGTTTGAACAACATATCAACATAATGGCACACGGGTAGTACCCCATAAGTGCTCCATTCCTCTTCTAACACAAGTCTGAGTCCGAAGAAGCTCAGCGCCGTGCACAGGCTCTGTAGCACCGGCGAGGACCCTAAAATACTTTGAGTAGATTTTTAACTCCAAATTTAGCCCCGGAAGCGCCGTTAGGCTACTTTATCGATTTTCAAGGGATTTTTTGCGTGCGCAACGATGCACACTGGCGTCCGATCTTACTACCCAGAGACCAGAGCGAATTACTAGATCCAAGTCCACGTGAAACAATTCTAGCCCTTACCTATACACAGATAAAGCACATCAGTAAAACAGATGTTCGTGCAATATCCAAATCTCGGAACGAGATCTAAGTCTAGGAATTGAACCCAGAACCTCTAGCTTTCGCGGCGGACACCATGCCTCTAGACCACACAGCACAAGAAGAAGAAGAAGAAAAAGAAGAAGAAAAAGAAGAAGAAGAAGAAGAAGAAGAAGAAGAAGAAGAAGAAGAAGAAGAAGAAGAAGAAGAAGAAGAAGAAGAAGAAGAAGCAGAAGAAGAAGAAGAAGAAGAAGAAGAAGACGAAGAAGAAGACGAAGAAGAAGAAGAAGAAGAAGAAGAAGAAGAAGAAAACAAAGAAGAAGAAGAAAAGAAGAAGAAGAAGAAGAAAAAGAAGGGGACCGCATAGATTGCGGCACTCTCTAGGGGTGCTGAGGGTAGACATAGTTTGTAAATGTATTTGTAGTGTTAAAAGCACTAGCGTGGTTAAATATACAACACGCGATGTCAACGGATTGCCCAAGCATTGTGCGAAGGTCAGGTGTCTAGATGTCAACCAATCAGAAGCTGTGTACTATGGGATGATTATAGTGGATCATACCCACAAGAGAAGTAGATCTACTCAGCTTTTCACTAAAATTCAATCCTGAAACAGAAAATGAAAACTGGACTAAAAACTGAAAAATTGTCAATGATACCACGGTGTTTCGAAAATCAAAGACAGCGTAAACGTCATCGTGTTTTGGTTGGTTTAAGAGGTCGTGCTCACGTTTAAAAAGTATGTAAGTCAGTAACCGTTTAATCCGTGTTTTTTTTTTTTTTTTAATGCTAAGGATATTCGTGTGTGCTTGGTAATGTGCAGATAGACAGAATGGTTGCTGGTGCCTCTCCAGGTGGTGACCTACTTTAAGTTAAAGCGGAAGTGATAAAAGCTTTAGGAGATCAAGTGATTAGTTCAGCAGAACAGTCATAAAATCATTTTAGGGGTAATGATTTGGCTGGAAGCAGGGAGAGAGTATATTATTTCCACCAGCATTTGGAAACAGGGGCCCATTTTTTTTATCCGGCGGCAAACAGCAACCTAATTATGGAAACTTTGTTGGCCAGTGAGGAAGATGGAAATGAACAGGTGTGAGAAAATCAGTTTTTGATTCGTTAATTTAATCTTAAAACACAATTAAAACTATTAAAACTTCTTTAAGAATAAAACAATGTGGCTGTCAAGAGATTAATTTATATTTAATTACAAGTGCAGCTCTCATATGCTTTGTCACAGTAACTGACATACTCACCACTTCTCTCTTCGCCTTTTCTACTATTGCTTATGACGGGAAGAGTCGCAGAGAGGAATTCGCTATAGTTTCCTGTTTTTGCTAGTTGCCTATCTTATGTGAATGGCATAATGCGTTTCTGTTTGCGTCGCTTTTTCTTCATCCATCTATGTGTTTCTTGGTCGGCCTCATGAATGGTAACCTGATGTAGTAGGCTCCAGCTGCAGGGTGATTTAGTTCCATTCTAACCAGATGACTAAACCATTTAATTCGTTGACATTCTTTCTAATTAGTCATTACCGGTACTGTACCTACTATTGTTCTTTAATCTTTATTGCTGATTCTATCTCTTCTTGTTTTTCACTTCTAATTTCTTAAACATCTCATCTTTACATTGCGGTTATGTTTTTCTTAGACACTCGATGTCTAGCAATGATAACACATAAATGGTATGAAAATGATGTTTACCAGCTCCTATAGTTGCTAATCGCTATGATGATGCCTCAAAAGTGGCGATTTTGGCAGTTTATGCTGTTGGCATTTCCTATTCTGCTTTCTTTTTCTCGTCCCCAGGCCTTTATCCTCAGTTAATACACTGATTAGGTAATTACACTCTTTCTTTTCTTCTACTGCCTTTCTATCCCCCAGTGGAGTATAGGCCCTCAACCAACTCACGCCAAGTCATTCTACCCTTCGCCATTACATGGAGCTCTCCCCATGTCCTCCTTATCATTCTAACTTCATTCTCCAGCTCTTTTCTTTATGTGCTTGTTGGCCTTTCTTTATTCATATGCCCCTGTGGGTTCCAATGCAAAGAGAGTCTAGTTATGCTGTTCTCCTGTTTTCTCAAAATTTCATTTTTTAGCTTGTTTTAAATTATAACTATTAGAACAGTTTTTTTTTTTTTTTTTTTTTTTTAAGTTAGCTTTAAAGTTTCAGTGCCGATGTATGGTGCTGCAAACTGAGAGCAAATAACATAATTAACAACAAGCTTTAACCGAGAATCAGCTGACTAAACGCAGTCAAATTGTATAAAATAATCACTAACATAGTTAGGGTGGAAACTAAACAAATATCACCGAATCCAAAGATGGGAACAAGACACTTTATTAATTGTCGAATCTATTTCTCTAAAACCAAAATGATGTTTTCATAGACTCCTACTATTCTACTTTGTCACTTCATCATCATCATCACGTAGCACGTCCTTTGTAGAACGATCCTTTTGACACGGTCTTGCTGATAGAAACATGGTTTCTTGCCATCTCTCCCGTCGTGTGAACATTTATACCCTAAGTACCACATTTATTCTGTTCCCATCTTGGTTCTGGTTGACTCTCTCATTCACTCTTAGTACAATGTCTGCAGGGATTATGCTCCCCAATCTGCCATGGCACTTGATATGGACAAAATATTTCAGATTCCTAGACAAGATGCACTTACTAGCCAGTTTGATTTTAATTTAAATTTTTTTTTTTAAACTCTTTGAGTCCCAGAGGGTTGAGCATCACAGGCCCAAGGGGTAGTCAAGAGAGATGTAAAATCAGCGCATCATGCGTTGATTGGGCTTCTAGATAGTAACCTATGAACGCATAATGCGTTCCTTGTGACTCAAGGAGTTAAAGCATTTCAACACAAAAACACTTTTTCTCTTTAAGGTAGTTACGACTCATCCGTATGTTGCTGCAGGGGAGGTGCAGACTTTTACAATTTACAATATATCCTTCCTGGTAATTAACAATAGACTGTTAAAGTGTTTAATATGGTTTATTCACTCAAAGAAATCTATACCTGTATCTAATGAGTTATAATAACACTTACTGGCAAGGGAGTTAAAGTAACAATGGGATGTAGTAAGTTAATGTAACAGTCAGATATGTCACAAGGAATTCAGGAAGATATATTGTGCCACTGAATGAACCGAATTCTTTTTAGTAGCATTGTACTGTTCTCTAAATGCACCTAGAAGGTTTGATAAATGTCACCTCGGTCTCAGAACTGCACCTTTTCTCGGTAGAGAACGGGAAATACACCTCGGTGTTGCTAATGCAGAAAGGGGACCGAGTATCCGCGGGATAAGTGGAGAATCTGCACATGAGCAGAGAAGGACACTCCCCTCTCCTGACAGCCGGAAATCGCAGTCCAATGGAGTGGTTCAAATACTCCCATGCGAATGTGGAAGTCAACGGGAAACCACCGCATTACATTACAAAGAACTCCATGCAGAAAAACAGATCGAATTCCTTGAACTACGTTAATTGAGGTTTTAGGACAGTCTGGTCCAGAAGGGACAATCGTAGGTTTAACTGATAAAGAGGGCAAGGAGCAAATAAATGTGCAGATGCATAAAGGCCTACCTGGTCAGCAGAACAAGTGATGTTGATAAGCTTTGTACATTATGATTAAACAAGCAAAAGCGACTTTTTTAACGAATCTACAAGAAGATATGACACACAAATTTCGCCATTACCTTTCCTTTAAATCCTTTTTGTCAGCGATCGCTTGAGAAGTCAGTGGTATCTTGGACTCCAGAAGAACTTCTAGGATGCCGACATCTTTGCATAAAGACAATGCGAAACCAACATAAGTAGAGCTGACTATAGACCCAAGTCGGACAGCAAATGATTCCGCCATTATAGCTTGTTATTTTCTGTGAAAATGTAAATTATAATTTTAGAAATATTATGAAAATATATGTTACTGTTCTATTGTTCAAACGATAACAATTTTTTTTTTCAACTACCTATTTTAAACAGTGGATTAGTCGTGTATGTCTAGTACGTGTGTTGACAATTCAGTTTTATGACACAGTGGATCAGATTATTGATCTAGCGCTGTCTAGATACATACAATAAAACGTGATTGATTACACTATGAACCTGTCTGTACAGATTAACAGCTAGCCGGTTTATCTTGCTTCAGTTGCAAACGTGTTTTCGATGTGTCTAAGGGGAACTTCAACCGATGATCGGTTGGCTGCTGTTCTGCCTGCTCCTTTGTGATGTTGTTTCTAACTAGATGTATGCATGTATGTGTGTGTATATATATATATATATATATATATATATATATATATATATATATATATATATATATACACACATACTGTTCTCCCATTTAATCTGCATATTTAAATATTTTTATATATATATATGTATATATATATATATATATATATATATATATATATATATATATATATATATATATATATATATATGCAGATAAATGGGCTAACAGTAGAATAGATGAAAGCTTCAAAAAATCAACTCCTGCGGAGACAATTACAATAAGAAGCGACCTTGCAAAGAATAAGCCATCAGTGGCATAATATTAAATGAAATTATCATAATCAAACGCCATGCCGACTGGCGTGGGTGACCATTATGCTCCACAGTCCTCAATTTTAAACAGCTTACAATGTCCAAAAATTAGGTAATGAAACTGATTTTATTACGGCCAAGACAAAAATGCCATCTACCAAACAAAGCATGAAATCAAACGAGGCAATCTTCGTCTATGATCTGGCAACTATTCATCGCCGCCCGATAAGCAGACTACAAACAAGCGCTATTTTTTTGACCTAGTCAGAGGAGGTACATTGTTACGTAATCAGCATCAAGAATAAAAGGTGACATTAAATTACGTTCACAAATCAGAAAAACAGCAATTGAGAAAGCTGAATTGATGCACACGTTTATGGGGATAACTGTTCATCTAGTGCACAGATTTTCAGGTGGTATTCACGATTCAAAAGTTGTGTGGAAATGATTACTAGACCTAGACGCCCATTTTATGTTTGGAATCATTAACTCATTGATCTTTTATATACTGTCATCCTCTCTCTGTGCAATAAGTACATCACGGAATGGTAAAGTGCCGTCATGTTCGTGTTGTAACGATAATGTGATGTTTCTGTGTGACTGGTTTATGGTGGTATGGAACGCAGTAGCTAGCTCTTTATCAGCTGTTATTATTAGAATGCCATCTACATACCGACGGTATAAAACCAAATCCCTGATGTGGGCAGATCTGCTATTTTCAAGATGTGTCATGAAGATTACGGCCAAGATGGGACCTAGGGGGCTACCCATGGCTACTCCGTCAATTTGGCTGCAGCTTGTTTCAAGGACATTAAATTTAACATTAGTGGTGCAGAGGCGCAGAAGTCTGACCAATGTGACGTAGGAATGTCCAGTTTCAGTTTCTTATCCTTTATGTAAACAATTATAATTGTGATACTTTTTTCCAACAGCACATTAGTGAAAAACGATGATATATCCATAGGAGCCATGTGTTTATCTTTTAGATCAATTGTGTTCAGCAGAGGTCTTTGAGCTTAAACGTGTCTGTCAATGTTATATTTTCAAAAGACTGCTTTAATGGTACAAGTATTTATGCTTCGCAATTTGATGCTGAGCAGAGTTTATCAGTTTCAAGAACTGCCTCATAGGTGTGCCGGTGTTGTGTAGCTTAGGTAGCCCATTCATCTGAGGGATGTGTGAGCCCCGTGGATCAAGCAATTTCGCAGTCGTCTTGCTATTGAATTTACTATTTTGGAGTGACTGAATCTCTTGCTTTTTTTTTTTTTTTTTAGATTATAAGTCTCCTAGTGTGTTAGTAGTGGCCTCAGGTTGGAATTTGGATTGGTCTAGTAAGATTTCTTCTATTCTGGTTTTGTTGTCAGACCTGTCCATTACCACGTCACCGCTTCCTTTGTCTGGTTTCAGAATTATTATGTGCTTGTTGTCCTCTAGTGCCTTCAGCTCTGTAATTTGTTCGGGGGTCAGTGGGCACGTTTTTTTTTTTTTTATTGACGTCGTTAAGCGTTACTGGTGTTCTAAGTCCACAAGTTTAGCTTTTAGCCGACCAATCGAATCGGTAGACATGGGTTGTAAAGTTGACATCTAGTGGAAAACATTTCAAACTGAGTTTTGGACTCGATTTAGCTCAAATATTTAGGCTTAGCACAGAACTTCAAGCGGCGTCCGTGGCTTAGGCTTTGCGAGTCCGACTCGTAATTCCAACGTACCGCGATCGAAACCCACTGCAGGTGGCGTGGATTTTTATCGTTCTATGAGGCGTCGCAGGTCGACCCAGCCTAGAATTGATACCAGGATGGCTGTCCTGGAGAAGTAGAAACGGCATAATGCTGACCATATTACTCCCTTAGTGCCGATGATCTGAAACAATATGGGCGCTCTTAGCATATATGCGATGCGCCTAAAAGTGTGAACAGGGATCGTTACTATCTTTACTTACTTACACAACTTCAATCCATAAGCAAAAGCCTCTGTTTGAATTGTTTTGAGTGTATGTGGTGATAGATTTTTCACATACTTCTCTGGGTTGTCTAATGTATGGGTACTGGTTTTCTCGGTACTTAGTGATTTCTTGAGTCTGCCGTTTTGTTTTATTTCGGTTTATTTACTGTTTCAATGCAGAATCTAGTGAACTTCAGGTAGCCAAACAAACTTAACTCATCAGTGGTCTTGTATGCGGAACTACATACACGTTGTAGGTTACACAGTTTACCTTGCGTTTCTTCGGTTTCGTTCTTGGGTAATCTCTTCAGGTTTCTAGACGTTTGGCACATCTTGTCAGCCCTCAGAGGTTTGAAGTACCGATATTAAAATAATCCTGCTTCGAGGCATTCCTTGAGAAACCGTAACCGACAATCCTGTACTGCGATTTTACAATTCAGATCGAATAATCCATCCAATCGCTTCACTGTTGGTCGCGGGAAGTGACGCTTAAAATATTCAAAACAATGTATTCCCGTAATGAATTTAAATAATGCGGACACCAACAATACATTGCACAATTTATTGCCAGGCATATTTCGCTGTATGTCGTCAGGTGCGTTACTACAGAGTTACATCAACATAAAATGAAACAAAAAAAACTGAATAAATCCAACTGAAATGCGAAGTTTCTTCCGACACATCGTGTATGATTTCTGGCCACCGGAAGCTAACCGTAGTCAAGTGACTTACCAGGGTAACTTCAAATTTACAATAAATTTCCTCTGCATACAGAGGAGGGGAATGTTGATTTTAATTGTTAAAGTTTCGGCTATTCTCAGCAGTCTCCTGTTTGGAGTATGGTAAACCATACGTGTCCGGAATAAAGTATATGACGTCCTATGGAAGAAGTGGGTTCTTTCCGCTTGACTGGTATCGACAGGGGATATGGATATATGGGTATAGTTAAGCAGTGTTGGCTAGTCTAGGTTGTTTCGCAAAAATTAATTCATTCTCCTGTATTATTCTCCTTCCTGAATTTCTGTTTTTCCCACCTCACCATCTCTGTCTTATTATATCTTTATCTACAGAGAATTATATATGTTTATGTGCTCTGCAAATGAACTGGTAGGTAGGTAAGTTGCACCCCACCAGGACATAACACAATCGATAAACTCCCAAAGTGCCACCATGCGGATGGGGATCACCCGTGTCAGTAGGTCAAATCACAGTTTGACACAACCTAAGATGCACCTTCTGGCGTGAACAGATTACACGTCCAGCTTTAAAATGTCTCGGTCGAGGAAAGGATTCAAAAATTTCCGCCAGAGCTGACTTCCCAGGCTAAATGTCCTCTGAATCAAGCTCTTCTGTCTGCTTCGTATCTGTCGTTTTTCATAAGATTCGTATATTATTAAAGAAAGTTTAATAATGCTAAACTATTGTCACCTAAATAAAGCAGGAGACATTGTCTCATGGCGCCTCGCACGATCGGTGGAGGGAGTAGAAAAGACACCACATAAACACAATATAACAGTGATTTCCAAACTGTGCGCCGCGGCGAACGGGTGGCGACCTCTTTACAGGGGCGCTGCGAAATATTCAAAGGTAAACGATTTTTATTTGTTTTCATCTCTTACATAAGAATAGTCATACTTTTACTTAGATTAGGTCTCCATAAAAAATGTTAACTTAAAAAAGACTCCGCGACTAAGACAATTTTGGCAAAAACTGTAACAAAACATTAAGTTAGGCAACTAGCAAAAGACAGGAACCTACATATAGCTCCTCTCTAAGACGCTCTGCAGCATAAACAGCAAGACGAAAGAAGAAACAGATCAAATACAATGCAATACATTGCAATTCGACATTACAATATGTATATATATAATGTGCATTTTTTATAAAGGCAACGATGCAAAGCAATCAGCATTCTTAAACTAACTTGAGTCAACCGAGTGAGGGGAACATTTCAAAACATTAGATTGCACGTGTTTCATAGTCGTTTCACTTTCAATTGGTCATTTCCAGCATGTATCCCCTGAATTGCACCTTTTTTTTATTTGGTGGTGAATAGGTCCAGACGCGTATCAATTAATGTACAGTTCATATTGTAGGGTTACATAATTTATTAGTCAAACAGAGAACAAAGAAAATGGCCGCTTTAAGAGAAAAGCAGTATCAGTGTTATCGTAAATTATAGAATCGTCGGGTTAGTTGCGTATCCTGTACAGGACGTTGCAGAACCAACCCCAACAATGGCAAACTACTGGACGTAAAGTCGCCTAGAAAAACCACACAACAGCAAGGGGCTGTTGTGTGGTTTTTCTAGGCAAATTTACGTCCAGTAGTTTGCCATTGTTTTACTGGACGGTCAGCTTTCATGATACC